ATTATATTTTATTTTCAAAAAGGCATCATTCATTCCCGCTTTATCACACAGATTACATAATCAAGGCATTTTTTTTTAATGTTAATCAAGAAATCTCACTTTCATCAGCAAGTCAGGCCATGCTGTTAAAAGCAGACAAGGTTATAAGAATATAAGTGTTATTAAGTCTACCAGTTCTTGAGAATTATTCACCAGCCCCCACACACACAAAAGGCAAAACTCTGCCTCCTGAAAAGGGGTCTCTCTTTAGGAAACTGGTAGAGCTTCTCAAAGTCTTGGCATTTGTGAGGAGCTAACAGCCTCTACAAACGAACATCCATGATCTGTGCCCCGTCAGCTAGCAGTCAACAGGCTTTGTGCCAGCAGGTAGAACATCCCTGTGGGCCTGCTGCTGTTCCAGGTGACATGTTCCCATTGCATTCTCCCAATACACACACACGAGGGTTTTCCCACTGATAATACTCAAAATAAGCAACACGATACTGTAAATCACTTGTCGCAAAGAATGTTCAAATATTTAGTCTTGAACTGTGTGACAAAGTGAAAATATGTCATCACTCCAATGAAAAGGGGAGGGGAATAGTTTTAAAACACCATTAACTGACGTGTTTAAGTTGTTTTTAGGGAAAGACAGCAAAGCCCATACAAAATTTAGGAAAAGAAGAAAATTCAGATTTCAGCCACTGGTACCTCTCTAAAGGGCAGACCTGGTGCCTCTATGCCCTGCCACCTGGAAAGCTTACCTCCTACTCTGCCAGACACCTTCGAGTTGAGAATATAACACTCATTCCAATCACTCTGCATTTAGAATCTCGTTGCCCCTGACAGCCCACATCTGGAACATTCCTCATGCCTACATGGCAACACAGGGGCCATAGAAGGAGGGGATGAAAGCATCCCCTGTGAGAGACACTGGTGAAAAGAACCCCTCTGCTCCAACCGCCCCCCGCCCCCCAAAAGCACTGATCATACTGGTACCTACATCCAAGGAACAAGCGGGGAAACAACTGACGATTGCAGAGAATCTAGTCAAGCTATTGCTGCACCGAGTAGAGGAGGCAGCACGGAACTAACCTAGTTGTCATGGCATGTGATTCACTCCTAAACGTCTTCCCTCAGAGGGGCCTTCTCTGCAGACAGGACTGGTTTTCCAGGTCTCTCCCTCTCTCTTATCCAAGTTGCTCAAGCTAGTTTTGGTCTCTCCCAACAGGATCCAGTAAGAAAATAGAAAGCTTTTGTGGCAGCAAAGGAGATAAGGAATACACAGAAGCAGGGGGTTAGGGGACTCTCTCCTGGTATTGATTTAGATAAGAAGTTTCCAGAATGCTGTGAGCAGCGGAGCCACCAGCAGAGCCATGGTGCCCGTTATGCTCGTCCCACCGCTTCTGTTACACAGGTCCTTCTGGCAGCATTCGTACTGTAGAGTTTTCTCTCCTAAGTTTTTTGAGAGGTATTCGTAGTTGCAGTTCTCAAACTTCCAACACTGGTAGTATTTTCGTGTCTCTGTGGGAGAAACACACACAAGGGTAAGCAAGCAAGTGGGTCAAGTTCCATACCTGCCTTGCAGCCCACGATTCTTCTCCTGGGAACTGACCTTGGGCCGTAGAGACATGTGGGCAAGAAGGGGCATCCCAGTTGGGTTGCAAAGGGGAACAGTTCAGTGATGATACAGCTCTCAGTGGAACTTTCCCATAAATACAAAGTCTCGTCAGAGCCAGCAGGATTGTGTGTGGAGGGAGTGGTGATGGGCGTGGGGGTGGCTAGAGTAGTTAAATGCCTTCGCTAATGCAGTGCCTGGCCTCTGACTGGTGTTTATGACAGTGTGCCCTGCCTCTCCTAAGGCTGATGTCTCCAGAGCTGGAGGGGGATTTAGATGCTCTGTTACTATCTGCCTTACTGTAAGGTCAGAATATATCTATTTTAAGATGTCTAGCTTAAGCAAAGGGACTTACGTTCATGAGAAGAAAATAATTAAGATTCACATTATCCTTCTTAAAAATAGATTTATCCTTGAGGAGTTTTAGATTCACAGCAAAACTGAGCAGAAAGGACAGAGTTCCCATACAGCTCCCTGGCACCCCCACCCCAAACCACCTCCCACACAGTGAACATCCTCCACCAAAGTGGTACATTTTTTCCACCTGATGAACCTACAGGGACTCATCATTATCACACAGAGTCCATAATTTACACTTGGGTTCACTCTGGGTTTTGTACATTCTAAGGGGTTTGACAAATGTGTGACATGTATCCACTGTTATAGTATCAAAGAGAGCAGTTTCATTGCCCTAAAATTCTGTGCTCTACTTCATCACCCCTCCCTTTTTTTTCAGTTAACCCCTGGCAACCACTGACTTTTTACTGTCTCCTTAGTTTTACCTTCTCTAAGATGTCCTATTGTTGGAATGATGCGGGGGGTAGCCTTCTCAGGTTGGCTTCTTTCATGTAGTGAAATACATTTCAGGTCCCTTCATGCCTTTTATGACTTGATCACTCATTTCTTTTTAGTCTACTGTCTGGATGTGCCCGTTTATTTATTCATTCACCTACTGAAGGCCATCTTGGTTGCTCCAAGTTTGGGCACTTATACATAAAACTTACCAACATCTGTATGCAGGTCAAGGTGGGCATGTATGTTTTCAACTCGTTTGGGGAAATATCAAGGAACACAATGTTTGACTCATATGGTGAGAGTATGTTTAGTTTTTTGAAGAAACTACCAAACTCTCTGCACCATTTTCCATTTTCACCAGCAATACTAGTACATGAGCATTCCTGTTGCTCCACATCCTCGCCAGCATTTGGTGAAGTCAGTGTTCTGGACTCTGGCCTTTCTAGGAAGTGTGCCTCATTGTTGACATCAAGCATTTTTAAAGCTTAACAAGTCATTCTAAGACGAGTAAGTTCTGAGGATCCTGTGTACAGCATGGTGACTATAGTTAATAATACTGTATTGTATACTTGAAGTTTGTTAAGAGAATAGATCTTAAGTGTATAGAGAGTTAGAAACATCAATGAGAGAGAAACATTGATCAGCTGCCTCCTGGACACCCCCTACTGGGGATGTGCCCACAACCAAGGTACATGCCCTTGACCGGAATAGAACCTGGGACCCTTCAGTCCGCAGGCTGACGCTCTATCCACTGAGCCAGACCAGTTAGGGCAGACACCAAGCATTTTTAAAGCTTAACAAGTCATTTTAAGATTAGTAAGTTCTGAGGATCCGTGTATAGCATGGTGACTATAGTTAATAATACTGTATTGTATACTTGAAGTTTGTTAAGAGAATAGATCTTAAGTGTTCTCCATCACACAAAAAAGGTAACTATGTGGGATGATGGATGTGTTAATTAGATTGTTTGTGGTCACCATTTCATAATGTTGTATATGTACATCAAATCAGCACCTTGTACACCTTAAATATACCCAATTTTTACTTTAATAAAATTGGGAAAAAATTAAAATAAAAGCCTAATAATTAAGATAAGAAACAATGGGATTTGAGAGCTGGAAAAATCATTTTGACTCTAGTCTAATTTACTCTTCCTGGCCCTCCCCACCTCTACCATCAAACACACACCTTTTATAAAGAACCTATTGGTGGTAGGTTAAGAAAGAACCACTTCTCTGTGCTCATATACAACTGGTGCATGTTACCTAACTAAGGAGGCTCAGACATAGCCATTCCTCGCCAGTATCATTTCCACACATAGATTCAACCCAGAACCACATCCACCAAGAACAGAAGAGGGCACGGCTTTGCTGTTTCTTTCCTCTGTCCACCACTTCCTAGATCCTGTTCGAATAGGATTATGGAGATAGAGCTTCTAGAGCCTGACCAATATGGAAAATGCAGTCCTAGCAGTCCCCAACCCCGTTTCCCTGAGTGTCCTGCTCTCTGAGGCCACAAACCTTGGGTGGCACCTGCCTGTGTCACACTCAGGAACACTTTTCCCCTTTCACATTTCTGACAGCCAATAAACAGGCCTCTGCCATAATTTTATCTCCTTTCCTCATCTTTGCATCCCTAGCCACTTGCTCAGACTCTGACACCCGGGAGGCTCTTAAAAGACGGGAAGGCAGCCAGCATTGCTGTTAAGAGAATAAGCATTAGAATAGACGGATTCCCACATTCAAATCCTGGGTTGGTTACTTGTCCTTAGTCTGTTGCTTAATCTGAGCCTCTGTTTCCTCATTTATCAACTGAGAATACAAAACATTACCCTGAGTGGTAGGTGAGAAGCATTCAATTAAAAACACATGAAAAGTGCTTAGTGCTACATGTAGCTAATGCTATTAAATGGCCCGTATTTCCAGGTTTCCATCATCCCATTACCCTTAGGAGAGAAAGGGGAGGCTCTTACCGGCTTTGACGTAGAGACATGCATCAAAATTAACTGTACAGTTGGTGGTGACAGTGCACTCACCACCTGGGTTGAGGCAGATGTAGCACTGCAGGCTATGACCTGGAATCAGGAAGAAGAGCCGTCAGAATCTGGCAGACCAGCACTCACTTGCCCTCCTGGCTGCAGAAGGAAGCCCACCATCTCCATGACCACGGGGCAGAGGCCAGCATGCTTCCTTTCCCACACACACTTGCAGCAGGTAGATTTCTCCAAGCTCAGACTGTTAAGAGTAGGCAGAGAGAAAGATATAAGCTGGAAGAGGCTGGGAGAGGCAGCTGACCTCTGGGCGGACCTCTAAGCTGGGACATAGAGGAAATAAGAGAGAGATGTAACAAACTGAAAATAGACAATGGGGGCAGCAAGCCCCTATGTGAGCTGGAGAGATTCAGAGCCCCTCCACCATGGGAGCTAAATGGTGGCTTAGACCTAGATCAGGGGTGGGGAACGTCTGGCCTGCAGGCCCCATGAGGCACGAGAAATCATGTGTTCCGGCCCTGCCAAGGCAACCACAGGTGAGACTCAAAGTTCAATACATCTAGGAGCTTCTTTCATAGCAACATAAATTTACATTAGGTGAATTATATTAAGCGAATGAGGTTATAAATATCCAAATGGCACTTGGCATAAAGAAGGTTCCCCACCACCAATCTAAATGAAGGAGCCTTATAGCTTAAATATATATATTTATATATATACTTTTTTTGAGATACGAGGGAGGGTGTGACTAGCTCCTTGCCTAGGGGCATGCCAATCTAGGCATATAGATCCTCTAAACTCCCCAGTATCGGGGGCACTCAGTTTGGTCTCAGCCAGCTAAATTGCCCGCTCAGGTCCTCTCTGAGTGTATCGCTTTCCTACAAATAAATCCTTGTTCGCTTTGGCTGTTGTTGTCTCTTGTTTGAATTATTCCCCATAAGCAAGACAAGAACTGGGGGTGCAGAGATCCCCTTGTCCCCTGCTGACAAAACTACAATTCTAGCAACAGTTTTTGGACCCTGATGCAAGTGCAAAGGAAATTTCCGTATTTAAAAATCCATATAACTGTCCTAATTAATCATTTCAACTGGAAGTTGAATAAGTTAACAAAATTCTATAAATGCCTGCCCAGCAACAACTGCTCTATGAAATCACATTCTCATGGATTAATAGTCAGTATTTGGTGGTAGCTCCCTGTGTGAAAAGACATTTTCAAAGATGAACTACAGAACATCTCATTACAGATCAGCACTAACAGATGAATACTTGCGACCAATTGGATGAGAGGGAACACAAATTTCTGAAACCCAAGTAAGCAAAATGTTCTTCTCCCAAAAAGAATTCCATTCTTCCCATTAGTAGGTCTGAATTACAAATAACTGTACTCAATTGTAACATTTCAAATTTTGTCAATTGAAAATCTGTATTAATTTGTTTTCTCTCGTTATTTATATAAAAGCCTACAGAATATCCTTGAATTTGTCTCTTGGCCTGCAAAACCTCAACTATTTGCTCTCTGGCCTCTGACCTTTGGGTAAGGTGCCCTCACTGAAGCTGCTCCCTGCTCAGTGGCTGACCCATCGCCAGAAGCACACATAATCAAGGGAGAGACAGCAGCCAAACACCTTACGCCCAAGTAGGTCGGGCAACCAGGCGTTAGCAGTGACACCGAACACGAGAACCTGCTACATCGGATGCAAATTGCCTTTGGTTCTCTGATGTGAAAATCAATTCTGCTCCTGTTCATGTTCTTAGGGTTCCTCTTTGCTAGCTAGACTCAGGTTTTGCTGGATTATTTTTTCCTTCTCCATTTTATATCAACAGTGACAAGAAAAAGATAGGTCCTACTGCACATCTGTCATGGGGAGAGGCAGAGAAGTGTTGCAAGACAGTGCTCCTGATTCATGCGGACACACCCTCTTCTAATTAGAGACGATGACCTTCTTCCTCCCACTGGCCTTCTGCCAGGTCAGGCGAGTGTGCCATGCCTGGGGCAGGCCTCCGTTATCCCATTCTGCCTCTTCCCCCCGGAAGTGCTTGTCATGCCTGCGTGACAGGGGAGCCACCATGAGAAGGGATAAGAGGCAGTTTTTCTCTTCTCTTCTCTGTTCCAGATGTGTGCGCACGCAGGAGTGGACAGAATACAACAGGGAGGGATTGTTCTAGCCTGGCTCTTTGGTTGCCCATGGCCTCGAATTTTCTCCTGGCTAGAGCTAGAGTCCATTGGCCTTCTTGACCATCCTTGAGACAGAGGAACAGAAGCTCACGTCTGGGACTTCAGGAGGCAGAAGTGCTCAGAGCTGACACACTGGTTCAGTGTTCACACATCTGGGCACCCACATGAGAACCTCAGTCTGTTAGAAGAGGAGGGCTCAGTGACCTCCATCACCATTTTTTCAAGGGGAAGCTAAGACTAAGGCGTTAACTAACTTGCCCAAGTTCACCCAGCTACTAAGTGGGCGAGCTGGCCTCAAACCACGGCTGCCAGTTCTGAAACCGAAGCTTGGTCTAACCATGTCATTCTTCTAATCGTCCTGAGTGGGAAAGAGAAGAAAATGGCACAAATTACCAGGGAGACCCAGGTCAGGGACCAGCAATAAGTCAGCGGTCGACTGTTGGATCTTTTCACTGCTAAGCCTGGGTAGAAGGATCTGCTCCAGATGCTGACTCTCGGACAAAGGGCCTGTCTCAGAACAGCTGATGGCCCCAGACCCAGGCCTGTGCCATAAACAGAATTCTGGAAGGGGCATGACCAGGTTATTCTAACTACAGAAAATACACTGGCTAGAAGAATCCAGACAGTAATGTAGTGTTGTAATGTAGGTGAGCCACATTACAACCCACCCTGGCTAGAATCAGCAGAGGTGGGGAGGGAGGTGGGAAGGAGAGGAGTCATCACTTCTCTCCCCTGTCTCTCCGTCCCCCTCCCCCCCATCCCCCAAAGGGAGAGCACATTCAAATGTGTCCTTGGGCTGGTTTCTTCTTTGCTTCAGCTTCTTCAACTATAAAATGGGTTTAACAGCACTAACCCCTCACGGGATGGCTAGAAGGATGCAATGAGAGCGGGCGTGGCACAGTCCCTGCTACGCAATAGGCATTCAGTATATGGTAGCCACTAGAGCGACTAAGATGTAAGCCATGCTCCAACATGGCAGATACCTTTTTCTTTTGCTCACTGCACTATTTCCTTCTCTGTCCCCTCCCCCCACAAAACTGGCGGTACCAGTATGACACAGGCAGAAAATGAAAAACTTGATCCTTATGATGATGCAAAGCAAGTCACACTGGTGTTCCTAGTGTTACAGAGGCTAAGACTCAGAAACACACCAATACCTCCAGGAGTCAGGGAGGGGCGGCCCGGCGATGAAGGAGTTAAGAGCAGATGGTCTGGTGCCAAGCTGTTTGGGTTCAAATTCGGGCTGTGCCACTTCTGTGGGATAGTTTACAAGCTATTTAATCTCTCTGGGCCCCAGTATTGTCAGTTGTAAAATGGCGATAAAAACAGTACCTACTCCATAGGGTTGGCCTGAGGATGAAATAAGTAAATACCTGTGAAGTGTTCAGAACAGTGATTGGCACAGAAATGCTAGAAGCATTAGCTGCTACTGCTGTTACTATGAGCACCATCCTCATCATGGCGCATAAAGGTCAGGGCAGAAGGAAGGAGCACAGCTCTCTAAAGTTGGGTCCACTGGTGTCCCAGCAGCTTGTGGTGAGAGGGAGAAACTTAAGCTGCTGAGTGTACCTCCTTCCGCTCCACCCCCAGCCCCAGAAGCAGCTCCGTAACCCAGAATGGCTGTAACCCGGGAAGGTGCTCCGCTGCGGGCAAGCCTGTAACATAGGAAGGAGCTGTCACACAGCCCTGGATCTGTAACACTGAAAGGCAAAGCCACCAAAGCCAGGCTGAGGCCAGTGGCATCAGCTCAGTCTTCTGGGGCCTAAGGAAAAGGAAGCGTGTGACCAACGGGGCCCAGATGGTCGAGATCCATGTCCCTCCGGACCACTCACCTGAATCATAGAGGACAGAAAGGATGATCAAGAGCCCGAGCAGGGTGAACCCTCCTTTGCTTCCCATTGTCTACAGAGTCTGGAAGGAAGACACACAAAGAATCGTCATGAACCAACAGATGACTGACTACTGACTGGTTATCTCAGAAACCAGGAATTAAAGGTCTGGGGGGCTTCAGGAGACATGGGGAAGGAGCTAGCAGGCCAAGAAAACACAGGGAATCTACCAGGTAGATTCTACGAAGCAAATCTACGAAGCAAAGGATGCTCTCAGATGGGGCAGCACTTGGTCCCCTCTTCTGCCCTAAGACCTCAGCTTACTAAAGAAAGGCTGTCGATCCTGGTGAGAGGGGCAGCCATGGGGAGTCACAGCACACAGGGCCCAGAGTCAGGACTGCCCGGGCCCCACCCTAGCTCTAACCTATAATAGCTTCGGACCCTTTCTCCAGGCAGTGGAAACAGCACTGCTCTCCCCATGAAGGTTGTTCAGTCAACTGAGAATGTGAGGAAAGTACTTAATACAGCAACTGCAACCCCTGCTTGCTCTCATTCCACCCAGTGCTGTTGGCTGCGCCGGAGCCTAGTGAAGGCCACTTCTCCAGGCCATGTCACTAAGGGCATCCGACCAAACGAGTGACTCTGGAGGGCACCAACATGTACCCGGGAGCAGAACAGGAGGCAACAGCTCAGCGTGCTGGAAGCTCCCGCTCCCCACTTTAGCAAGTATAATGGGAACACCTCCTTGTTCACTCTGGGGAAGTAAATGGAGTTCCAGGTGTGAGAAATGCTCACCTGTCCAAATTCAAAGAACGGACTCAGAGACATGAAGTCTGGTGAAAATGAGACCTTTAATGCAGTCTTGCAAGATTGGGTGTCTGGTTGAGCAGGCACGCCAGAGCAGCAGCAGGGATCACAGGCAATTTATCCCTAGTGTGTGAGAGTCCTTCCCGGTTCCTCATTGGCTGAGGACTATGGGGTTAAAATCCCCCCCGCCCTCTGCACCCTCCTATATGTCGCCTAGGTCTTATTGTCTCCTATTGGGCTATTTTATTTTATTTTTAATTTTTTTTAAATACATTTTATTGATTTTTTACAGAGAGGAAGGGAGAGAGATAGAGAGCCAGAAACATCGATGAGAGAGAGAAACATCGATCAGCCGCTTCTGCACATCCCCCACTGGGATGTGCCCGCAACCCAGGTACCTGCCCTTGGCCGGAATCAAACCTGGGACCTTTCAGTCAGTTATTTTTAAAAAAATGGGTTGTCTCCACCTCCCGTTGTCTAGCTGTGACTGGCGGATCTTCCTGGGAAATGGGCTGCTGGCCACATACATAGCCTGTTCTTATCCTCTTTCTCATCTTTCCTAATCCTATTTGCCCTGGGAATTTCAGTAACCGACTGGCAACATGCTGTTGGTATTCTTCACTAAAAGTTGACTATGCTGCCGAAACCGGTCTGGCTCAGTGGATAGAGCGTCGGCCTGCGGGCTGAAGGGTCCCAGGTTCGATTCCAGTCAAGGGCAGTACCTGGGTTGCAGGCACATCCCCAGTGGGCGATGTACAGGAGGCAGCTGATCGATGTTTCTCTCTCATCGATGTTTCTAACTCTCTCTCTCCCTTCCTCTCTGTGGAAAATCAATAAAATATATTTAAAAAAAAAAAAAGTTGACTATGCTGAAGGATCACAGAGGCCTATTTCCTACTCAGGTAACTTTGATGACTAGTCCACACTACATTCATGCCTAGATGTGTAGCAGTGGGCATCAGGGGACAGGAGGGAGGGCTGGAATGCCTTAAACCCTCTTTTGTCTGCTAAGGAAGTCAAGACACAGGGAGACTTTTAATTGTCTGTGGAAAAAAGGGGCCCACATGCTAAACCTGACAAGCTTGGGGAGTCCTGCGTGGCAGGCCCTACAAACTCAGAAACTGAAGTGACCATACAGGATGGTCTGAACATAAAAATTCCTAATTAAAAGCAGGTCATGGCAGGTAGTCATGTCATAGGCCTACAGCTTCCTTGTCAAAGGTTAGTCTTTACCTTAAGGAACCTATCTTGTTTTTTTGTTATTTTGTGTGGGGTTTTTTGTTTGTTTGTTTGTTTGTTTTTGTATCTAAGATAACACAGCTTTGGAATTTCAGAGTATTGTCCTTTGCCAGACCCTTTAGGGCACACCCACCACACCAGAGCATGAAGCCACAGAACCATTCTTCATTGTTATTTTGTTCCCTGAATATCATCGCTCTCTCTTGTAAATGTTAATTATTAACCATCCTCAACCCACCCAGGTAAATAAGCTTTATACCATCCCTATGTGTTGTAAATGTTAATTATTAACCATCCTCAACCCACCAAGGTAAATAAGCTTTGCTTTCTCTCACCTCCCTAATCTACTACCAATGAATCCCATGGATTCCCCCGTATGTCACCTCCTTTGATTCTAATGCAAAAAATAAGCTGGGTGACTACATTTAAGAGGAAGAGGAAGGCAGCAGTCTCAGAGATACGGGAAAACAGAAGAGGCAAGAGCTTCAGAGTGAGATAGATTTCACCTACTACTGATTTTTAAGGAAGAAGAAGGGGGCCACAGCTGAGGCAAACAGGCGGCCTATGAAAGCTAAGAACTGTCCTCAACTGACACTCAGCCAGGAAATGGGACTTCAGTCCTCCAACCACAAGGACTGTAATTGTGCTAGCTAGAAAAAAGAAACCAGGTTCTCCCACAAAGCCTCCAGAAAGGAACACGGCCCCGCCAACACCTTGACTTGAACCTGGTGAGGCTCTTATTTACAAACTGTAAGAGTCATACTTGTGTGTCAAGCTGCTAAGTGTGTAGTGATCTGTTTCAGCCCCAATTTTAAACTAATACACTCACCTCAAAACTGGTACATGGTAGAACAGTATTTAAGACCAGGTGTGAGTGCTTCACCACAGTTACTCTCTAGTGGGGAGACTTCCTGTGAATTCAGCTTCCGAAATAAACTTGCTAGACGGAGACCACCAGGGAAGAGATTCACAGATGCCCAAGACTATAGTTACTGTTCCTGGGAGCCTGGGGCCTCAAAAGCTGATGCACTTTAAGACTAGATGAGTCCTCAAAGATAAACCCAATGTTCTTACTTTATAGTTCATTAATGGAGGCCCTGGGGGATGAAGTTACCTGTCCCATGGCAACAGATTAGTTGCAAAGCCACAGTTGGGTGAATCACACTTCTATTCACCAGGGTCTGGTAACTCATAACTTATTAATATTACCTGGTGACTAGCAGTGTCAAGGGCTTGGAGGTTTGCCACATCAGTAGGGAGACAAACAAAAAGCCACATCATAATGAACAGCCCCTCCCACTCTGAGGTCCTACTGCCAGAGTCAACCACCCCAGACCTCCCTAAACACACAAACCTGAAGCTTCTGTCACCAGGGCCTTCTTGGAAATGTGTTCCAGGACTTTCCAGAGGGCCTCTTATTACAGAGAGTCTACTCATGGCCCTTCTCTCGGAGATTATAATGCAGAGCCAGCTATTTAATGAAGATATTTCGTGGAGTCAACCATTTAATGAAGCTATGGGGGGGCAGGCAAAAAACATCATCTTCTTTAGAAAAACTCAAGCACCTCTGGGCTTGGGTTTATTTGTGACCGTCTGGTTGAGGTTCAAGAGCTGGCCCAGAATTTTTAATGTGATCCTTTTTTTGTTTAATCTTTTAAAAAATATATTTTATTGATTTTTTACAAGTGGGAGGGAGAGTGATAGAGTTAGAAACATTGATGAAAGAGAAACATCTATCAGCTGCCTCCTGCACACTCCCTACTGGGTATGTGCCCACAACCAAGGTACATGCCCTTGACCAGAATCAAACCTGGGACCTTTGAGTCCGCAGGCCGACGGTCTATCCACTGAGCCAAACCAGTTAGGGCTAATGTGATCCATTTAAGAGGTTGTACTTGGAGCTGTTGAAGATGAATTCCATTAGATAACCACTGTCCTCTCCTAAAATCCATTCTATTTGGGCTTTTATCTTCCAAGCCACTCAGCCTAATGGGATGTTTTCTTACAAGAAAGTTCAGCAATCTCCCGTTTCTACTTTGAAAATACAGAAGCCACAAATCTCAAGCATGTTTGGTCCACAGTAAGGCAACTCCCTATCTGCTTTGGGGGTCATACATTTCCCCACATTTTGGGGAACACTGCCACCTCCCTCTGTGTGCCCGCCCACCTAGGAGAACGGGAGTAGGCTGTCCCCAGTGGGGAACATGGGGACCTGAACTATGAACACACCCACATTTGGTCCCCACATATCAGGGGCAAACTGAGCCCTTTCCATGAATTATCTCATTTAGTCCTTGTAACACCTAATAAAATAAGCTCTATGGTTTTACTGATAAGAAAATGACAGTACGTAGTTCACTCAGGATTATCCAACCAGTAAACAGCAGGGCCCAGTGTGAGGCTGGCGTGTGCACAAGAGTTTTGAAATACATTTTAATATAATAGTAAAAGAACAACACACGGGGAAATCTAAGTCTTGCAGTTTCTTTCTTTTTTTTTTCTCTCAATAACAAATCGAAGGACAGCATAAACTTTCCTAGGTTTGCTGCAGACCGGAGTCGCCAACCCCTGAGCGAAGAGCGGGCCGGCGCTGGACGGGGTTGGGGCCAGCAGAGGAGCCATTTTTTTTCATTAAAAGGTTCCTACTTGTCAGAGAAATGGAACATGTGAGTAGGCACATTTTCCAGGGTCCTTAAAGAGCCTGCTTCTCCTTCACAACCATTCACATCACGATTGAACATTTAACAGTCGGCTGTCAGATTCTATTTAGAGCGCAGCCCCAGCCGGCCTAGGAAGACAAAACCTCCATGGGTAACAGTGTCAACAATAAAAATAACCTTAAAACAAACAAACAAAAACAGAACCTCACACCAAACTTGGACTTAAAATGCCTGATTTTCAGCACTGCCCGGTTTATTGAAGTTCGAAATTGAGCCCTAACCAGTTTAGCTCAGTGGATAGAGCATCGGCCTGCAGACCGAAAGGTCCCAATTCGATCCCAGTGAAGGGCATGTACCTTGGTTGCAGGCACATCCCCAGTAGGAGGTGTGCAGGAGGCAGCTGATCGATGTTT